CAATATACAGTCAAGAGGTCCCGGGTAGAGGCCGTGCCCCTGCTGCAGCCCCCCACTCTGTGCCAATCTAACCATGGTACGGACTGACCCCAAATCTGACATCAGTTTGACCCCAGGTGCAGACCCTCCAGCCTGGACCCTGTGGGGTTGGTCCCAGCAGGAGCATTGGCACAGCCCAGCCCCATCCCCAGCCCAGGCTGCAGCAGTACCAGCACTGCTGGGGGAGGCTTAAAACCTCCCGATACATGGAGCAGAGGGGGGAGGGCGAGGGTGCAACTGGCAAAGCCCAGAAGCCTGGGAAATCCCCACAGTTGAAAGAGATGCCGGAGCAGGGCCCTTTGTTCCAGACTGCTGCACTGGTAGCCCAGAAACACTGGATCATTGGGTCTAGGACCCCAGTGTAGCTCTGTGCTGCAGTCTCTGCCCATAAGAATGGATGTGCTCCTGTCCTGGGCCAGACCACAGGTCCATCCAGCCCATGGCTGTATTGCAACACCACAAAGCAGATCTTAAGAGCAGTAGGATTTATGCAGGGGCTACCAGACTGCCCTGTTCCTGCCCTTAGTTTCCTGCCTTTAGAGGCCCAGGAAAGACCCAAACGGAGCCCACACCCATAGCTCTAACGGGTTGTGCCCACCGCCCCGTCCAGCACAAGTCTGTCTGATCCTCATTTGACCCTGGTTGATCGGTCAGCTCTATGACCCTGTGCAGCAACGAGCTCTGCAAGTTAGCTACACACTGCGTGCAGAGGAACGGCTGAAACCCACTTCCTACTTTCATGGCCCGTCCCTTAGTTCTGAGAGGGTAAACAGGAAATCCCTACTGACCCGCCCACACTCTACAGACCTCTGTTGTATCCCGTCCTCTCTCTAAGCTGGGAGGCCCCATCTCTCCCTGTCTGGAGCTGTTCCAGACCCTGATCCTCCTTTCTGCCCTTCTCTGCCCCATTCTCAGTGCAGCTGGGGGGAGCCTGGAGCCACGAGGTGTGGGAGCACCCGGGGCAGATCAGCGCTCCCTGTGCTGTGCTCAGTGATTCTAAGGTTCAGTTTGCCTGCTGGTGGCTGAGCCAGGCAGCGGCGGGCGCTGTCTCCATGGCGCCAGGAATGCAGGAAGAGGCGGTGCCTCCCGCAGGCCACCTCTTCAGTGACAGCTGCCAGCCCCAGGGCAGTCTCTGCTGTCAGCTGTGGGCCTTGTGCGACTGTCCCTAAATGAGACCATGTGCTTAGACCCCCGGCCAGTTGTGTCCTACTTCACAGTGCCCGTGTCAGCATCCTGTGCTGCCTTGCCTTAACTGTGAGCTCTCTGGGGCAGGCACTGGGGGCTACAGGTCCTGGCTCTCTCCAGGTCGCTGGGAAGCAGAGCTATACAGCCTGCACCCTGCAAGGGTCCAGGTGGGCAGGGAACTGGCGGTGCTGTGCTGCTGGAAAGGGAGTCCCTGTGCCCCATCTAACATGTGGCCAGGCAGTCTGGCTCCCTGCAGAGCCAGCACCTACACTGGATGGTTTGTGGCCAGGCCCCATACCTGGGTGGAATAGTGTGCGCCATACTCACCAACGCTGGGTATGATGGGTATCCCCGGCACTTGGCCCACACCAAGTCCAGGGCATCCAGAGAGGAGTCCTCGTCTTCTGACAACCACCCTGCCCCACGGCCAATGCTCTTCCGCACCACTGCACCAAAGGAGAGAGGAAGTGGGGGTAGGAGGGAAGAGAGTCAGCACTGCCCCTCCCTGCTGCTGCAGGAACTGGGATTGCTGTGCGAGAGCTCAAAACACTCACTGCTGTGCCCAACACCTCGCCCGGTGCCGACGGAGTAGGACTCATTCTCTGTCCCAGACGTGTCCTCGCTGCTGTCCTCTGGGAAGTTCACGCGGGAGAAGGAGGGCTTCCCTCTGCCCTGCTTGGAGGGTGTGGTGCTGCGGGGGAGGGAGTGAGCAGTTAGGCTGCTCAGAGCCGTGTAGGCACTGGCTTCCTGCTCCTGCTGCAGTCAGCACCCTTGGAGAGAGGAAGATCCTTCTCCCATGTTATGGGAGAAGGGGGGGGTAGGCTGCGTGGCACCCCACAGCACTGCAGCTTCTGGAGGAGCAATGCTTGAGGGGGTGCCAAAGGCTGGAGGAGCCCACACCCTGGGGGAGCTCCAGGCCAGGCGGGGGGCTGCCTGGCCATGCCAAAGTGCCGCACCTGGTGCGATCGGAGGCGGCGCTGCTGCTGCTGCTGCTGCTGGATTCCGAGTCGGAGCTGCTTCGGGGCAGGTTGCAGTCGTTGCGGTACACCAGGAAGCTCTTCTTCACGGGTTGGTTTCCGCTGCTGAAGCCATTGGCAGGCAGGTCTGCAGCAGACAGGCAGAGGGGCAGCATGAGCTACGCACAGCCCCCAGTCCTGAACCCCACAACAGACTCCCACAGGGCTGGGGCTGCCACACTCACCCATGGGAGGCTCCTCAGCAGATTTATCACTGTCGCTGTCCGAGCTGGAGCTCTGGTGTGGGCTCTTTCTTACCCTCTTCCGCTGCCGCTGTGACCCTCCCATTATTGGAAGCTGCGGGGGGCCGATGGGGCTGCTCCCATGCCCAGGGACCAGCTGGCTCTCCCGATTCTTGGGAGGGCGCCCTGGCCGCTTTGGGGGTCCTGCAGTTTTGGGGTTCTTCTTGGAGAAGAGGACAGAGGTTCTACGGCCAACTTCATGTGCTGGGGTGGAGGAGGAGTTAGGGCCCAGGCCTAAAACAGAGGTGGCGGGGGGAAGTGGGTGTCAACCCCACGTGAGCCCAGCGTACAGAAAGGAGGGCCAGCCCTGGGACTTCTCTTGCAGAGAGCTGCCCTGCAGGGTTCTCACCCTGGCTTTGCTGCTCTCACAGCCAGCCTCATCACACCAGGAGTGAGGCTCTGGTGCAGCTGGGCTCTCGAACAGTTCTGGCAGGTGCAGCTTCAGCCGCTCCCTTGTTTTCCCAATGGCTTGCACTGATCCTGCTCTGCCACCATGCTTGAGGAGGGGACCTCAGCTGCACTCTAGAGAGAAGTGGGGACCCCTTGCCTCCACCCACTGCAGCCTCTCCTGTTGGAGGGGTCCAGGCTACTCCAGGCCAGACTTCAAGCATGCTGGCGGTGACCCCCACTCTCTGCAGCGAGCTGCCCTGGCCCCTCTTTTGCTGCAGGGACATGGCAGGGGCAGCCCCTCCACTCCACGCCCCTATTCACACATCAGCCCGCAACTCTGTTGGGGCATGGGCCCCCATGCGGCCATTACCTTTGCCAGTTTCCTGGCTGCTGCTCTCCTCAGCTGCACTGTCGGTCTGTGTGTCCTTCTCACAGGGATTGTGGGGCTGCAGGATGCCCCTGGCAGAGCCCCCATGCCTATCCAGCACCTCCCGGCCCAGCTCCCGTGGGTGTGCAAGCTTCCGGCGCAGGATGGTGATCTCTTTCTTGATCATCTTGGCCCGGCGGGAGCGTCCAATGCTCTGCTTCCCTGTGTTGACCTCATCCAGCCGCTCCAGCAAGATCTTCAGTTGCTCCTCCAAGGGCAGGTGCTTCTGGTTCTCTGTCAGCAGCAGCCGTGCATCCTCTGGGGGCAGAGAGAGGAACATGGGTGAGAGGCATGGATCTCTCCTGGTCCCACAGGAGGATGGATGAAAAGCTCAGGGGCAGCACAACACTGGGGGGGGCAGCAGCATGCTTCCACCTGGCACCAGGCAGTGACAAGAACAGGACACTGGGATGCAGCAGGGAGGAAGTCAGCACAATCTGGGCCATCGTGGGGCAGGGAAAGGATAGTCCCCTCCCAGGCACAAGGACATCCCCACACCCTTAGTCCCTGCTCAGCTCCTGGCCTCTCTACCCTAGCGGGCTGCCAGACTGCTGCAGGGCAGGGATGGACCTGGGCAGACAAGATCATCTCTCAGCCAGGGGTTCTGCTCCACACACCCACTGCAGGCTACAGGAAGCCAAGAGAAGCCAGGACCACAGTCAGGGACTAGAGGGAAGAGATGCCCGGCCAAGGGACACATAGCAGCAGCTGTACCTGGGCACCATACACAGGCAGGAACCACCGCTCAGTATGCGGGTGAATGAGAAGGGGCGTGTGCTCCAACCAGAGAGAGAATCTGTCCAGGGGCCACCCAGGGGCACAACACTACACTGACCCGTCCCCCGGGGTGGAGCCATGACAGGGAAGCCCAGCTCTCAAGTGCCTGTTTCACTTCTTTCAGGCAACACTGTGCAGTCACGCAGCAAGGGCACCCCCCTGCCGCAGCCTGGCAGCTCACCACACACTGCAAACAGGGACAATGCTGAGGATTGACTGGTGAGGGGACTCAGGCCATTTTAGGGCCAGAAGCTGCCTGGAACAGCTTTCTGGCCCCAACTGGAAATGCAGCACTGCCCCATCCTGCCGTACAACAGCCTCAGTGGGCTCACCACCCCCCCTCAAGCTCGCAGGGAGCAGTGCAAGGAAGAGACCCCACCAGAGGGATGGGAATGGTGGACAACACATGTTCAGGACTGTTTCTGCCCTGCCCAGGCCCCCGACAATCTGATAAAACTCCAGCTCTAACTCCCGGGTCAACCCTTTGATCCCCGGGGCTGGGAGTTGGTACCCACCATCCTCGATGCCTGGGCACTGAGCATCATCCACAGGCAAGCAGTGAGGGAAGTGCATGCCTGTCTCAAAGTCAATGCCCATCTTGTCTGCCTGGCGGCGAGCCTGGCGCAACACGGAGCCCCCCTGCTCTCGCAGCCGGATGGCCGCCCGGTAGAAGATGGTGTCCTTGGCATTGTACTTCAGGCAGTTATTGATGATGAGGTTGAAGTCCTCCTCGAAATCATCAAAGTTCAGATAGCGATATGCCTCCAGGTTCTGTTTCATAGTTTGGAAGTCCATTGGCTTCTTGATGTGGTCCAGGTAGTCTGGGACCTGCAAAGGAAGGCGCCAGAGCTCAGAGGCAGGAGCTCCACCTCATGACCACCTGCTCTAAGAAAGTGGCTGTTAGAGGCTCTGCTCGCTGGTGCTCCATCCCAAATGCACCTTCTGCCCTGCGTGACCAGAGGGAATGGCAAAACCCCAGAGCTCCTGGATCTTGGATCTGGCTCCGCACGCTGCCTGCATGCTGCAGCTCACAGAAACACAAGGCAGAGCACTGTGGAGGTGCCCCCAACCCCACCATGTTTCTGACCCAGCTGGATCCTCTGGCCTGCAGGCCACAGCATCCAGAATTAATTCCCCGGGGCAGAGAAGCAGTTTGCTTCCATTCCTGGGAGGGTGTAGGTGGGGGGGGGGTGACACACAAACCAACGACGTGGAGCCGGCAGCAGCGCAGGCAGGGACGCCCTGGCACTGCTGCAGCGCCTGGGCCCGGACCTGCAGGCGCTGGCTGCGCATGGTTCCCCCCAAGTGGACTGTAACCCACAGCCTCCAGCCACACTTCCCACTGTGCTGGGGGCTGCTCGGAGGCCAGACGCTGTTTGCATCCATTCCCGGCTCCACCAGTGGCGCACCTGAGGGGCAGTGCGAAGCATGACATTTGCCGGCTGCCAGCAGCTGCCATTCCCGGCAGGAAACCCCGCTCCCCCAGCCTGGCCTGCTGCATGCTGAGATCACTGATGTGCACAAAGAGCACGGAGCCTTTCAGCTCTCTGTCAGCAGCAGCCGCCAGCCCGCAGGGTGTGAGCCACAGCCAAGCTCAGCCTGGTCAGTAGGGCAGCAGCTCTGCCCTGCATCCCCTCAACAACCGCCACTGGGACAAGCTGGCCTGCTCCCAGCTGCCCCCTGGCCGCGCCAGCGGTCTGGGTGCCCGTGCACGAGCCCGGGTCGAGTGCAAGTGAAGCAGAAAGCTGGGGGAGGGGGTTCTTACTTCGTAGAGTTCTGTTACCTCAGACAGAGGGACCGGCTCGCTGAAGATGTTGCCCGTGTCCTTCTCCTGCAGCTGCTCCAGAGTCTTGCGGAGGAGGATGAGGAAAGGGGTCAGCTGCATTTCCAGTGCCACCTGCTGGACCTTGATCTGGAACACATGGACACGGTGCCTCTGAGCCAGGAGCTTTTGCTCCCATGCATGGCGCCTGTCCTGGCCAGGCAGCCAGGGCCACAGGCCCCACAGACCCACGCAGGAAGGAGAAGCCACTGCAGGCGTCACCCTGCCCACACAATAGCCACACGCAGGGGCCTTGGCACCAGAACTGGTTCCAGCTCTGCCTGGTGCTGCCCTGGGAAATGGAGGCAATGTCTCCCCCAGCCCCGTGCCCCACATGCAGGGCACAGCACAGTGAGCAGAGGGGCTGAGGGTGATGGTCCCCCAGGAGGGCTCGCAGTCCTTACCGTCTCTCTCTTGAGCTTCTCCCTCTTGCGGATCAGTTCCACCAGCAGGCGTGCGCGCTCCAGGTCATGGCGGAGGCGCTGCCAGGATTTCAGCTGTTCCTTGAGGGCCCAGTTCTTATCCTCAGTGTCTCTCTGCAGGAACAGCAGAGGCTATGGGATGGGTAGGGACACAGCCCCCCCATGGCAGCAAGTTGGGACAAAGGGTCTGGGGGGGCTTGATGCGCCATTTCCGTCAGGGTTCACATTTCGTTACCAACAGCCCCATCTAGGCTCTCACTTCTGCCACCCCTCCCCTGCCCCCCCAAGGCTTTGGCAGGGGTCGCTGCCTGCCAAGTCTGTGACGCCAAGGGCAGTAGAGGCTGCTGGAGCAGCAGTGGCAGGCACCCAGGGGCTTTCCTTCCCACATGAAACTGCAAGCACCACATGCAGCAAATGCTCTGGGCCCCGGGCTGCCTTCTCACCAGGCAGGGAGCCCCTACCTGATCGCAGTTCCTTTGAGACTGCAAGTGCGTCTGGAGCCGGCGCAGCAGAGGGACCCCATTGCGGGACTGCCTCTTCAGCGTCCAGTAGCTGTGAAGCCTCTGCATGAACTGGCTCTTCCTCTGGATGGTTAAGCGGTTGGTGATCTTACTGAGCCTGAGGGATATGAGAAAACGCATGCAGTCAGCCACAGCAGAGTCTGAGCTGCCAAAGGTACCACTGGCAGGCCCCGCACTGCTGCTCTATGTGGCTGAGGGGACTGCTGCAGTGCCAGGCGAGCTGGCGGCGCAGGAGAGCCTCAGAAAGGCAGGGGCTCCCCCTTGCTTCTCTGGAAGTGGGGCAGATGCCACATGAGCTTAGAGGGCTGGTTACCCTCTTCCCCACAAACCCTCCCCGGGGGACCAGGCAGGGGATGGTGCACGAGAGTAACAAAGCAGCCAGGCGTTCAGCAGCCTTGAATCACACGCGTCATGGTAGTGCCTGGGCCTGCCGCTGGGTTCAGACAAGGCACCCCTCGGGCGAGCCTGCAGTGTACAGTCAGCAAGCACGAGCTGACCAGCAGCAGGGAGGCAGCAGGACTCCTCCACAGCAACGCTACTGCAGCCACCCCAGGCAGACTGGGGGGCAGGGAAGTGAACATAGCAGAAAGCAAACGTTGTTGTGTACATGTGGGGGAGGCATTTAGGAGGGGAATCAGCCGAGCGGGTGAGGGACAGGGCAGGACACTGGTACAGGGGGCACCCAGGGGGATTTGAGCTGGGGAGGTGCAGGGAGAGGGCTGGAGCACACAGCCCACAGCACAGGGCAGAGACCACCCAGCGCAGACTGCAGGCAATTCAGCCTGGCCACAGGTCCCTGCTGCAGCTGCTTCTACTGCCTGGAGACTCTGCGGCTCCTCCCTCAGGGATGCAGGAGTTGGGCAATGAGCAGGACATGGAGGGAAGGAGGTCCCTGGGAGGCATGTGCTCTGCCTCTGGGGCCAGCCAATGCCTGCTGCACAGGCCCATACAAGATCCTCACCACACCCAGCCCACGGGTGCACCTGCCAGGGCTGCCTTGTCTGCCTCCTGTTGCCACAGACATGCAGGCAGCACTTAATGCCAGCCCTGATTAGCAGCGTCTCAGGCAGGCGTGCCCAGGCTGCTCTGCATGCTCCAGACTGTAGCACACTTAGGGAACTGGCAGGCAGGTCCCCTGGGAGGCAAGTCAGAGAGGTAAAGGAGTCCAGGGGAGCTGGCTGGATTTCAAGGAGGCCTTCTGAAGGGCACAGGAGCAAGCTATCCCAATGCAGTGGAAGAACAGGAGGGCAAAGGAGGCCAGCCTGGCTAGGCTCTCTTCAGTCTCTTCAGTGAGCTGAAGCTCACAGAGGAAGCCTACAGAACTTGGCCACAGCACTAGGGAAGAGTACAAGAGCACTGCATGGGTGAGCAGGGAGAAACTTAGGAAGATCAAGGCATGCTTTGAGATGCAACTGGCAAGGGCTTTAAAAGGCAATAGAAAAGGGTCCACATGCCAAGAGGAAGAGGAAGAGCAGAGAAATCGCAGGTTCCCTATGGAATGCAGAAGGCAATCTAGCTATAGAGGATGCAGAGAAGGCTGAAGCATCTAATGCCAGTTTTACTTCACATTTCACAAACCGGGGCAGCTACCAGATGATGGGCGTCATTGGCAGCAAAGATAGGGAAGGGGACAAACAGCCTTGAGTAGAACAGGTTAGGGATTACTTAGAGAAGTTAGGTGCTTTCAAGTTGGCAGAGCCAGATGGGATGCACCCAAGGGTACTGAAGGAACTGGCTGAGGTAACGTCAGAGTCATTAGCTCTCCTCTTTGAGAACTCGGGGAGGTCGGGCGAGGTCCCAGACCACTGGAAAAAGGCACATACAGTGCCCACCTTTAAGAAGGGAAAAGAGGAGGATCTGGGGAACCCCACACCAGTCAGCCTGACCTCAATACCTGGAAAGCTCACGAATCAGGTCCTCAAGAAATCTATCGTGAAGCACCTAGAGGAGAACCAGGTGATCGGGAACAGCCTGTCTGGGTTCACCAAAAGCAAGCTGTGCCCGACCAACCCAAATTCCTTCCATGATAAAGTGACAGGCTCTGTGGACAGGGGAGAGCACCAGATATGATGTACCTTGACTTTAGCAAGGCTTCTGACACCGTCTCCCATGACATTCCCATCAACAAACGGCAGCAGAGGGAAGTGAGGCTGGAGATGAGGAGGACCGTTCTGACGCCGAGGGTGGGCAGGCACCGGAACAGGCTGCCTAGGGACACCGTGGAATCTCCATCTTTGGAAGTTTCCAAGGGCAGGCTGGACAGACACGGGGCCGGGACGGTTTAGTTAGGGAGGACCCTGCCTGGAGCAGACGCTGAACTAGTTGCCCTTGGGAGGCCCCTTTCAGTCCAGCTTTCCCACGATCCTGCGATCTACCAAGGCAGGCCAGCATGCATGCAGCTCATCAGCATATCACACAGCAGCAAAGCCTGCAAGAAAGGAGGCTGCAGACCAGCAACAGAACACAGAGCCAGCTGAGCTGGGAGACCTGTCGCCACCATACGCCATGCCCCAGTCCTGCTGCTGAGCAGCCTTCATCTCTGGGAAGCAAGCCCCACACTTCTGTCCAGGGACCAGACCTAGGCTCAAAGGCCCAGCCTTTCTGGCCCGTGGAGGAGACATGCTGCCATGAGGCAGATGGGCCAGAAGCACCATGGTCACTCCCTGGGCCCGGCTCCTCTGTGCTCCCTGCCTTGTAACCCCAGACAAGGGAGCATGCAACAAACTAAAGGGGGACAAGATCACACTCAAAGGAGCCAGCCAGCAGTATCGCCTGTGTCTCCTGAGGCCAGGAACTCACCAGGCTCCAAAGGGGCTGTATGCTCAGGGCTAAAGACCACCCAGAGCTCTCACAGTCAATGCTCACACATCTGGACAAGGACAAAAATGTCCCATGCCAGAGCTTAGGCCAGAGCCTGTCTACAGGAGACCGTGGGAGATGTAATATCGAATTACTCCCCAGCTGCTCCTGTTCCCCTCTCAGAAACACTTGGGGCTGGGCAGGACGGGCCTCCAGTCTAGTTCTCCCTCACTGCAACTCCTGTGTTCCCCAGCAGCTGCCCTAGCCCCGCAGGCAATCAAATCTAGGACACTGGGTCCCACAAACTGCATGGATGCTGGAGGGCTGGCTGGGACTCGGCAGGAAGCAGCTGACCAGGGCCAGCACAGATGGTGAGAAGTAGAGGCACGAGCTGGGGTTTCCCAGGAGCGAGCCAGGTTCCAGGTGTGCTCAAGAAGGGAGGTTCAGACGGGGCTGGGAATGCTGACTTCTGGGGCTGGGATGAAGAGACAGCTGGACGAGAGCGTCAGCTCAGCCCCAGCCTGGCCAGCTCACCCAGACTGCAGCCACTGGCAAAGAAGTCTCGGTTATGAAGCCCCCACCTCTCCACAGAGGCACAGGCGAAACTAGCCTGCCAGCTAACAGCTCCCCCTCTCTGGCAACAGCTTGTTCCTGTGTCCCTGAGATCGGTATAACAGAAAAGGAGCCCTGGGAACCCCCAGCTGCTTCCTGGCACATCCAGCTAAGCTCGCTCTCTGCCGCTGGTCTAACGGCACCAACTTCCTGCCTCTTCCAGGCCAGCCACCTCCATGGCACCACAGCACAGCGCAGAGCAGAGGCGTAAGTCCCCTGAGCTCTTACCTAAGAACAAAGCCAGCAGGGGCTTGCTAAGGTAGGTGTGGGGGAGGAGGGGAGAGGCAGTGCTGGGGACAGTGAGGCTGCCTGTAAGCAAGGGCCACACCTGAGCTGCAAAGCAGTAAGGCAGAGGCCTGGGTGCATGGGAGGTGGAGTGGGAGGTACCTGGCCGTACCTGTGCGGGGGGATGCAGGGCACGGAAACCACTGGTGCCGCTGCTCGCTTCTCAGCCAGGATCTTCCTCGCCTTCTTCATTTTGATCCTGGACTTGGCCTTTGCCTTCTTCACCTTCTCCGAACTCCAGCCTTTGCCCTCCTCTTCCTCCTCCTCATCTTCCTCCTCCCCCTCACTGTGAGAGAGGGCAGGGAGCCGTCGCATGGAGCCCGGGGGCGTGTGGATGTCACAGTAGGCTGTCTTGCGCACACTGAAGGAGGTGCCGTTTGCTCCCATCTCGCGGACAGGTTCCATCTTCATGTACAGTCCAGCCTGCTGGGCACAGGTCACGTGGAAGGCAGTGTAGCAGTTGGCCTTGTGACACTGGATGCAGGCCCCAGAGCCACGCTGCTTACAGATGTAGCAGGTCAGCTTCCAGCGGGCTGGGGGGATGTGCTCGATGCTGTCGATGGGCTCTAGAAACACTGTGTTGGCAAAGCACACCTCTGGGATCCAGAGCGCACAGACCACGTGTGCCCAGCGCCCATCGTCCGTCTGTTTGAAAGCTCCGCCCTTGTTGGGGCACAGAGCACAGTCCACAGCCCGGGAGGGTGACTGCAGGCACCTCCTGCACAGCCACTGGCCCTCGGGGATGTAGGGCACACCATAGCACTCCTGGTGAACGGCCAGGTTGCACATGTCACAGAAGAGGATGACGTTGCTGTTCTGACACTCCCCGTCATTGCAGATACAGCAGACCGCATCCTCATCAACTAGTGCGTTGGGGTCCCCCTTGTTGTGGCTCTCAAAGTAGGACTCCTTCTCCAGCCGGTCCATCAGGTACTCAAAGATCTCCTGGGGAATGGGGCTCACACCCTCCGTCTTCCGCCGCTCGTTCATGATGTCCAGCCAGATGTAATCCTCCTCATCCATGTCATACTCCACCTCCTCATCCAGCTCCTCGGCTGACTTCTCAATGTACCTCAAAGAGAAGGGGAGAGGGAATGAGCACCCATCGTGGGTGCAGGCCCACACAGCCCACCTCAGGGAGAGAGGGGACAGGTTAGACTAGGGGGGTTTTATCGTGGCAGCCACGCAGCAGCTGTGACCCAGAAGAGCAGGGATGCAGAAGGGACCTGGGAAGCAGGATGTGCTGCAGCTCACACCCATTCTCCAGCACCCACCAGAGTGGCAGCACAATGTGGCACCGCCGCCCAAGCTGGACTACAGTGCTCCCCGAGCTGCGAGGGAGGGAGGGAGCACAAGGCACTCACTGATACAAGACAACCGTGGGGAACCTGCACGAGCCCCGAGGTTGCTGCTCTGGGGCCACTGCTCTCAGTTTCAAGGCACGGCAGTGCCAGGTTCTTGTGTCCTGGCGCTTGTGCAGCAGGTATCCCTGGCACTCAAGAGGACAAAGGAAGTGCTCCCATGTATGGCTAGGCAGAGGCAGCTGCCTCTGCTCCTCCCCGGCCAGTTGTGGGTAGAGAGCATTATTTTTGTTTTTATTTTCTTTCTTTCTAGAAAAAGTCTGAGCCTCTGGTCCCTTGCCCAGAAGCAGCAACAGCAGCAGCAGTCTGCCACCACAGGAACTGCCAGCACGCACAGACACGTGGCTGGGGAGGCCTCTGCTACAGCCAGCAGGACCAGAGCAGCGCTGACATCGTGCTCTGCAGCAGAGACAGCCATGGCCCAGGTCGCTATGCAAACACTCCTGCCAGCTCGCAGTGCTCACATCTCCACGAGGTGCTGAGGCAGTTCACCCGCTCGGCCACAGCCAGTCATCTCTGGACTGGCCCCGTCATAGCCGGAGAAGAAGGGCTTGCCTGGAGCAGAGCCCCGTCATAGCCGGAGAAGAAGGGCTTGCCTGGAGCAGAGCCCCGCGGCTGGCGGGAGACCTTGTAGCAGAGCGTGGGACGTGGGTACAGGGTGCAGGGGGAGGACGCAGCCACCGGGCAAGTGCACGCAGGGGCCTGGAGGAGGGAGCACAGCAGGGCGGGCAGCTCCACAGGCCCGGGGCACAGCGCCCCAGCCCCGTGCAGACCATACCTGTAGTAGGAGGTGGGGCGCGGCGGGGCGTCGGGGGTGTCCTGCTCCAGCTCCCGGTACACGGCCTCGGGCAGCTTGGGCGTGGTGCCGGCTGCGGCGCCGTGGTGGTGGTGGTTGGAGTCCTTGCGCTTCTCCTTGTTCTTGTGCTTGGCGGCCTTGGGCGCGGCGGCCGGCGCCTCCGCGTTCTCCTTGTTGCTGCCGCTCTCGGGCGCCTCCTCGGGCGCCTCCTCGTCCTCCGACACCACGTCCAGGTTGTCGAAGATGCTGATGCGGTGCACGCGGCCGTGCAGGTCCACCTCCACCATGCGCTGCGCCTGCGCGTAGGTCATCACCTCGCGGCCCGGCGACTGCGAGGTCTCGGAGGGGCTGGGCGACTGCTTGTTGGCGGCGCGCGCCTGGCGTCCCTTCTTCTTGTGCTTGCGCAGCGGGGCATGCTGGGGCGGCGGCGGGTTGTCGTGGTCGTAGTGGTACAGGTGGTACTCGATCCCGCTGTAGCTCTTGTAGATCTTGCGGCAGGTGCCCACCGGGCACTCGTAGGGCGGCTTGGTGGCGCGCAGGTTGTGGCAGAAGGTCTTCACGTCGAAGTCCACGCCCATGGCGGCGGCTCCGCGGGCCCCGGGCCGGCCCAGCCCCCGC